TGACCTAGAAGGCCTTCCTCCCTCTGCAACCTTAAGTGGGGTGCCCAGAGCTAAAGAAAGGGTGACCTTACCTGTTAGCCCACTCTCTCCCTTTTCTCCTCTGGACCCAGGATCACCTCTGTCCCACATTCGGTCCTGAGAAGCCCCCTGGCACCTAGAAATTCCCGGTATACCCATGGGTCCTGCAGGGGCTGAGATCAGACAAGAAGAGGAGGGTGAGCTCAGCACACATTTTCCCGCATTTCCCCCTCCCAGCATATGGGCTGTGCTATTGTCCAGCAATACACCCTCCCATGTACAGTCTGTCCCATAGCCAGTCACACACCCTCTCTGTAGACTACTGTCCCATCACCCAGCACCCGGCCTTCCAGGATGCGGACTGTCCCTGCTGCTCACACCGCACTCTCCCCAGTTACAGAGCTCAAGCCCAGTGAGGCACCTTCTTGCACAGACTCCCCAAGGCCCAGTGTTGCAACTCTGAGCTGGCGGGTTACAGGGGAGGGACAGGCCTCCGCAGCTTCAGGTGGACACAGGAGGACCGAAGGCCCGCCCCAGCTTTTCCCATCACTCACCTGCTTCCCCTGCACTCCCAGGGTCTCCACACTCACCAGGGGCACCTTTCTCTCCTTTGGGACCTGGGGGGCCTCTTGTTCCTGCAGAACCCTGCACGTCTGGGGCACCCACTTCTCCTGAGGAAGGAACAGATTGAGACAAAGGCTGTTGAGAGTGTCTGCACTCTGGATGATTTCCTCAGCTCCACCTGGAGAAAGAGAACTGGGGGCCTGTGCACCCCACTCTCTGGGTCCTCCAGAGCTGGGAGTGCGGGGGGCAAAGGCCGCAGCAAGGCCTGCCAGTGGTGATGGCCTGGCTTCACTGGCATGCTGAGTATCCTTAGGTCAGGAAACAGGCCTGCCAGAGCTGGAGGGGGCGGTCAAGCCAAGAACTGTCTGATTTCCATACAGTGCACTTTCCCTGTCCCAAGGCTGAGGATTTACAGCAGGGGATCTGCCAGCTTTTACCTTGGCCATGGACTCATTGCTTTCCCCTTCCTAGGACCAAACTTTATATCAGAAATGCTCCCTGACATAAGTCACCAGGGAAATGCAAATTAAACCCATGAGATATCATCTCACCCCTCCTAGAATGGCGACTATGAAAAACACAAAAGATCTCAAGTATTGGTGAGGATGTGGAGAAGAAGAACCCCTATGCACTGTTGGTGGGATTGTAAATTGGTGCAGCCACTATGGGGACCAATAGGAAGTTTCCTTAAGACATTAAAAAGATAATTAAAAAAAGTATGATCCAGGAAATACCACTTCTGGGTTTTACCCAAAGGAAATAAAACACTAATTTGAAAAGATATCCATACCCTCATGTTTATTGCAACATTTTTTTTACAGTAGCCAAGAGGTACAAACAACCTAATAGTGTTCATAATAGATAAAAATGTCACACACATACACTAGAATATTATTCAGCCACAAAAAAAAAATCCTACCATTTGCCACAACAAGAATGGATCTTGAAGAAATTATGCTAAGTGCCATAAGTCATACAAATTAAGACAGAGACAGTATGATCTCACTTACATCTGGATTATAAAAACAAAACAAAGAATCTGAACCCTTAAATGCAGAGGTCAGATTATTGGTGGTTACATAAAATGGGAGCTTGGTGGTGGGCAAAATCGGTGAGGTCAAAAGCTACAAATGTCCAGTTATAAAAAATGAGCTCCTTTTCCTCCTCTCCGTAGTGTATTTAGGTAAATCCTTTTGATCAGGCCTGAGTGTGGGGCCACAGGGCCTCATCTTTGCCCACCTCTCATGCAGTAGAATTTAGTTAGATATTTCACACACTGCACAGAAATCATTCAACCACATGAACAACTATAAGTGCCGCAGCTTGGTTCTACAGGGCCCCAAAGACCAGTCATTTACTCATGATTTCCTCATTCTTGGGGTGAGAAGAATCAGAAGACCCTAGGGGAGGAATCCTGACAGCTAGGGGAGGGGAATGACAGGGCTCAGGGCAGCCTGTCATTTGCCAACTGGTAACGAGGTGCTTTAGGTGGACTGAATGTCTAGGGGACTTCTTCCCAAGGAGGTGGGCTTCCATTTCCAGGGCTTCCACGGCAGAATATCCAGACTTGCTGAGTTGGTTACGATTCCAGTGCCCACCCATGCCCACCAGGACAAGCCATGGTCTCAGCTCTACCTGGATCCCCCTTCTCGCCCCAGGGGCTGTCTTTCTCATCTCGTCCATCACGACCAGGCAGGCCATTCTCCACAGGGCTACACGTGACCAGGGTGCAGTCATCAATCAAAGGTTTCTGGGGAAGGATCGTCACTTCTGCTTCCCCTGACAATGGAGGCTGTGTGAGCAGGACCAGCACAGAGAGGAGAAGAAGCATGGCCTTCAGGGTGGACAGAAAGAGAAAGGACATGCTCTTGGTTTCAGAACACGGGTTAGTGCTTAACCCAGCGCCCGGAGTCAGAGAGGCACTTTCCTACCACCTCGCCCCTTCTGTGGGATCAGGAGCAGCAGGACTCCGAAAACAATTTAGGACAAGGCGGCCATACAGTCTGGCCTGGGAGGGCATGAGTTACCCAGCTGACTCTGACATGGTTATCAGCAACATCTACCTCTTCTCAGATGCCCTGTTTTGTCCCTTCTAGTGACTTCCCTTTCACTGTCATCGGCATGTCTGGGATGTGAACTCCTCACTGAGGCCACCTGTCACATCAGGAAGGACTCATGAAGTGCCTTTGGGCAGGACAGTTTCTCTCTTTGAACCTCCTTCTCCCTGTCTGTGTCAGCAAGATGGCTGGGCAAACCCATTTCCTGTCACTTGTAGCCTTGGATGGACAAGCATTGGCAGTTTCAGAGCTTATCTGTAAAGGAGCCAGAATGCTCAGTGACATGTGTCCTAACACACGATGGGCACATGGCTACATGTTTGCCAGGTGGCCTGCCATTCCTGGACTAGATGCTGTCTCCATGAAGAAAGTTCCAGGGGAACCCAGAAAAAGTTCTCAGAATAGCTGGAGAGACCCTGGGATGCCTGGAGTGCTGCCCCTCCACCTGGGACGACTTGGGAGAGGGGCCTCGTGGAGGAGGGCATGTGAGGTGAGCTCTGTCAGTAAATGGTGGCTTTAGGTGGAGAAAAAACAGATGTTCAATAGGGTGTCCAGTGACATGTGAGAGGGACTCTGCAGCTAAGTGAGGTCAGGGTGGGTGCAGGACCTGGTCACTCCCAATGGTGGGCTTCTTTCCTCTTGAGAGAAACTGTAAAGTTAGGAGCCAGGAAAGCACGCACGGGAGTGGCAGAGGCCGGGAACAAGCCTGAGGGACAGAGCAAAGGGGAAGGGATCGCCAGGCAGCCTGAGGGGGAGGCAGTGGAGGGCCTCTTTGGCTACAGAAGTGCTTTCTTCTCCACCTGCTGGTGGTTCTGGGCTGCAGAGGACCCTGTTTGCACCGGTTCTTTCTCATTCTGAGTTTACCACTTCCTCGGGCATCATGGGAGTCTCTAAACACCAGGCAAGCTCACAGGCCAGCAGCGTGGCACTTGCTGGAGCAGAGGCTCGGCCATGAGCACCAAAGGCTCCAGCCAGAGCCAGGGCATTGCCCCCTGGTGTGCAGCTGCCACAATTCAAGGGCCCTGTGCCCACATCTGGGGAAGAATGAAAAGCCACAGGCATTCTGCCCGACAGCTCAAGATGGCACAGAAGGCATCACAGCTTATTGTAGCAGAAAGGGCCCTGGGCAGGAGCCCTCTCACAGGGTCGGAGACCTAGGACTGGGATGAGGCCTCCTTGCTGGGCCTACAGCGGTATTGGGCAGAGCCACATCCCCTTAAACGACATAATGTTCACTTTATGCCTCAATGTCAGACTAAAGTATTATTGAAAAATGATGCCTCTAAAAATTAACTGAATATCAGTAAACTTATCCAGTGGGTATATTTTTAAAAGAAAATATAAAGCTAAGAGAAAACCATGTTTATCCATGTCCAATGGGCAGTTGGTACCAGGATGAACTTTGACCCGGGCCTGGGAATGCCGGGGCTGTTTCTCCTCATCCACCTTCCTTTCTGAAGAAATCAGGGATGGAGAGAGCCAAGGGAGAAGTTGAAATTGCATTCCCAACTGAGGCTTCCTGACAATGGCATCTGGGGTCCGGGTGGGTGTCATATCCCACTCACCCACCCTCCCCCAGCCCAGAAGGCTAATCTCCCAGTGAGCAAAGGAAGCAGAGTGAGGGGCAGAAGAATGGTCCTTCTTCCCCACTATGCTGCCCTCTCACACCCACACCCACACCTCCCAGAGCAGAAGAGCTACATAGACCCTGTCTTCCTCAACACCAGTACATTAGACCACCCCAAATGGGCAGGGGGACATTCACTGGACACAGAGAATACAAAAAGAGAGGCAGGCACAGACACTCACCATTGCGTCCTCCAGTGCCCAGGTTCTCCAGACAAATTAGCACTTCCTTGGCCCACACACACGGGCTATTTATGCTGAGCCACCAGATATTGGTCTTTTAAGAACTCTTTTGGACAATTTCCTCCCTTGTTGACTAATTCACACTCACCCCCACCTGGGTTCTGGAAACTTGCCACTACACACATGTCACCTTAGAGTTTACAGAGCACCCTCAGTCCATGGCCTCATCTGAACCTCACTGAACCCTGTGAGATAAGTGTCATCATCAGTGTCTGGTTTTTACAGATTTCTATGAATCTGAATTCCAGAGAATGGCATCTGGGTTCTGGGTGGGTGTCATATCCCACTCACGAAAGACCAAAGTCAGGGAAGCAGAGTGAGAGGCAGATGAGGAAGCAAGTTGCACAATAACCTACAACTATTGCAGAAGCATATGCATTTGCATATTTCAAGAGTCAGGGCTTGCTGTGCCAACTTCTCTTTGTCCTTCACCTCAACATTACTGCCCAGATAGTGGGAAAGAGCTGGGAGCTTCTTGGCATTTCTGGGCAGGGGTGGAAGAGTTAGAGGGGTTGCAGAGGCTGCAGCATTCTGTGAGGACAGTGGCAGGGGAGCTGCCACCTGCTGGGGTCACTCTTTTGCTTCCTGGTCTAGATATTGGAGAGCCCCTCACTTGCTTTTTATGGGATGGAGTCCTTACATCCTTGCCTTCATCTCTCCACTTCCTTAGCTGGTGTTTCCTCTGTGTATTGCTCTAGGAAGCAGTTTGGACCCCTGAGCCACTGATACACTATTGGGGGCATCCCCCAAAAAACTCTCACTTCCAGTGGCCATGGGGTAGTTGCCTGCCCGACTGCTGACACTGTCATTTCTGCTCCCTTCTAGATCCCTGTGGCTTCATCTCTTGCATCAAGCCTTTGCCTAGGTCCACACACCAGCTGCCTATGCCCGCAGTGCTCTCCTTTGGGCACTCTATTGGTCGTGGCGATTGCTCCTGGGTGTAGTTCCTGCTGTGGCATCTCCTTGTGGGTTGTAGATGCTCTAATGCCAGTTTCCTCAGCTGGTAGGAGAGGCTCTTGTTTCCCCTTAATGGAATTTCTTTGAAGCAGGATCCCATAGTAGAGCCACTTGTGCCCCAAATGATAAAACTCTTTCATTATTAACATCCCCATCCTAGGATGCTTGTGTGCCTCCCAGAGATCTGGATCAGCATGGAGGCTGAACTGAACTGACCTATTGGTCTTCACTCCCCACAGAGCTTTCCTGACAAGTCTTAACCTGGTAGCTAAACAAACACCTATTTATTTCAGACTTTTATTTCAGAAGCCCTATATGTTTTCTGTGTTTGCAACTTAGCTTCTATTAACTGCTACCTCCTAGCCTATTAAGTACTCCCACTCAATGCCCTGGGATCCCCCTATAACACAGAGTATAGTGTTTCCTTCGTCTAACTCCACATTACAACAAAGTCTAATTTTATTTATGATCCAACCCAGACACTCCTGTTACAATGATAACCTTTGCCTTCCTCAGTTACACCAACACAGGTGAGAAGAGTCAGATCTCAAATGATGATCACAATGGCTTTCATGAATAAGAACCAGTCAGAAATGAAGTTTCTCATAGCTGACATCAAGAATACACTGAAAAAAATTTGTAAATAGGCTGGAAGAAGCAGAGAAGAGAATCAGTGATCTAAAAGACAATGTAAGAAAAACAATTGAGCAACAAAAACAAAAAAATTTTTTTGAAAAAAACCAAGGATAGTGTAAGGGAACTTTGGGACAACATGAAGCATAACAATACTCACAAATAGGGGTACTAGAGGGAGGGGAGAGGGAGCAAGGGAGAACAAACCTGTTTGAAGAAAGAATGAAAGGAAACTTCCTAACCTGGAGAAGGAAAATGTCATACAAGTTCAGAAAGTGCCAATAAAGATGAAGACAAAGAGACCCACATCAAGATACATCACAATTAAAATGGCAAACTTTAAAGACAAAGACAGAATCTTATGGGCAGCAAAAGAAAGACAGTCAGTTACCTACAAGTGAGGTCCCATAAAGCTGTCTGTTGATTTCTCAACAGAAACACTATAAGCCTGAAGTGAATGGCATGAAGTATTCAAAGTCATGAAAAGCAAGGATCTGAATCCAAGACTACTTTATCCAGCAAAGCTATCATTCACAATTGAAGGTGAAATAAAAAGCTTCCCAGACACACACACACAAAAACACACAAAAAGCTAAAGGACTTTATTGCCACCCAACCAGCATTGCAAGAAATGCTAAAGAGACTGTTGTAAGAAGAAAAAGAGAGAGAAGGGAGAGAACGTAGGCATAAAGACTAAAAATGGCCATAAAAAACCATGCATAAAAATAAAAATATAGCACTAGACGTCTTCACTAGTAAATTCTACCAAATATTAAAATATTTGACGCCTATTCTTCTGAAAAACTTCCAAAATATTGAAGAAGAGGCAATAGTTTCTAATACATTTTATAAGGCCAACCTAACCCTCATACCAAAAAGGGGCAAGAATAAGACAGAAAAAGAAAACTGCAGACCAATATCACTGACAAATGAAGATGCAATAATTCTAAACAAAATACTAGGCAATGGAATGCAATAACACATTTAAAATAATAATACATCGTGATTAAGTGGCACAAGGATAGCTCAGCCAGCATATACAATCAATCAGAGTAACACACCGCAGTAACAAAATAAAGGATAAAAAAAACCATATGATCGCCCTAGCCGGTTTGGCTCACTGGATAGAGCTGCGGGCTGGGGACTAAAGGGTCCCAGGTTCCATTCCGGTCAAGGGCATGTACCTTGGTTGCAGGCACATCCCCAGTAGGGGGTGTGCAGGAGGCAGCTGATCAATGTTTCTAACTCTCTATCCCTCTCCCTTCCTCTCTGTAAAAAATCAATAAAATATATTTTAAAAAGTCATATGATCTTATCAATAGATGCAGAAAAAGCATAAAACCCAGTTATGATTGAAATACTCAATAAAATGGGTATAGAAGGAAAGTACCTCAACATAATAAAGACCATATATGATAAACCTCCAGCCTTTATCATACTTAATGGTGTAAAACTGAAAGTTACAGGATATAAAATCAATGTAAAAAATCCACTGCTTTCCTATATATTAACAACAAAACCTCAAAAAAAATAAATGAAAAATAAAGTCCTTTTGCAGTTTCAACCATAAGAATAAAATACTTTGGAATAAACTGAACAAAGGATGTGAAGGACCTATGTACTGAAAACTACAAAGCATGATTAAAAGACATTGAAAAACATGCAATAAAATGAAAAGATATTCCTTATTCATGAATTGGAAGAATCAATATAGCTAAAATGGCCATATTACCCAAAATAATATATAGATTTAGTGTGAGCCCTATCAAAATCAAAGGCATTTTTTTAAACAAACAGAACCAAAAACATCAGCTT